TATATAGTATATATATATATATATAAATAAATAACTATAAAAGTATAAATCGTAAATATTAAAAATATTTTTTCAAAAACTATTCAATATTGAACTCATTTCGAAGGTATTAACGAGACGATTATAATGGTGTAACTTGTTAAAATAAAAATGTATTTTTTAAATATGTTTTAATTGATATACGATTATATATGTTAATTTGATAAAGGTTTAAAATGAAACATTTAAATGTAAAATTAATTAATTAATTAATTATAGGGGTATAAAATGTAAATTTAAAGTCATAATTTAAAAAAAAAAAAATCGGTTGTGAGAAGGTGATTGTATGTGAGGAGAGGAAAGGGTGAAAAAGTAAGTATAAAAGGTATTTTGATCATTTAAAATTTTAAAACTTTAAGACTTTTTACTTAATAAGATGGTATAGATTAATGTATGTGGGGCATACCTTTGCGAATCCCATTTGCAGTTAAAATCTAGGCTAAAAATGAATGGGTTGGGAGGGATTTAACCTATTTTGTAAATGATTTATTTAATCAATTATTAATTGACGTAATTTCAGAATAGCAAATCGAAATTCAAGTTGAGATTGAAGACGTATAACGACTTCTATAATCAAACGTCTAACCGATTCCAAACTAAAACAAGTTTTAATCAATCAGGAATTTCAGTTGATTTTAATTAGTTCTTAATTATAATCAAAAGAGGCCCATTTGATTTTGGCCCATGATGGTATTGGGCCGTCATCTTCAAATTTCAAGCCCAATCTTGTACTTTTTTTGGTTTTTCGGTGTTTTAAACATAATTTATAAGCATTAGCATTAATTGGAGGACCAACGCTATGTTTTGAACATGGGACACAAAATACAAATGGTTTATACTGATAAAATAACTGTTTGTTGATAAACTTGTTGATTAATTAATTACGTTTTGCAAAAACTAGCTGATGAATTTGTTTTATTTATATACTAGTTATGTACCCGCGCAATGCGGTGGGAGTCGTAAATTTTAACAATTTTGAAGTTTCACTGGTTTTATTAGAGAAGATTTAACAATGATATAAGTTATATTTGGTCTTTACATATTAATACAATTTGAATAAATAATAGTTATGATTCAAATTACAGTTTATCAATGAAAAAAATTATATGACAGTTTAAAATCCAACATATTTAAACGACTCCACAAATATGGTTGATTTACATCAAGAGCAATGAATCAAGTGAGCGAGACCGAGAGTTTTAGAGCAATTGAATGAGAGATGAATAAGAGAATTTTTAATAACTCATGTTGAATATCAATTTGAATCTCACATTGGGGATGAAGAGAAAACATAAAAGTATGAGAGGGTGAAGGCATAAGTGAAAGATATCAAAAATATCTTGTGAACATGAAAAAAAAAAAGTAACAATGTGCATTGGTAACTTACTATATGTTATTTTAATTGTAAATTAAAAAAAATTTAAGACTAAATACATAAAGTAATAGTATTTAATGCATAATGAGTTGTCTTTAAGACTTTGTGCATTAAAAATTGTTTTTAAGACTTTTGATAAATCTGTTTTATAAGGTAATATATATATATATATATATATAAAGAGAGAGAGTTTGTTTCAAATATAAACCATCGCATTTGTACAACCAATGCAACCCAATAAATTGAGATATTTATGGAAATGATGAGAGTTCATTTATTATGATTTGAATATTTATGGAAGATGAATATGGTTCGTTAATTATGATCAATACTTTATATTAGAAAATAATCAAAACTTCTATGAAATAACATATTAATAAAATGAAATGGACAGTTGAGATTGGATTGTATTGGTTGCACAAATGTCAAGTGTTGTATAATAATCAACCTATATATATATATATATATATAAGAGAGAGAGAGAGAGAGGATATTACTTTGCAACCACGTTATTTGTACAAATCGTACAAACTTCATTCAACCGATCACAACTTTTCATTTTGTTCTTTTTTTTTGTAATTATAAGAGGTTGATTAATCAATTTTATTGTGGAAGATGTTAATCATGGATATTATCATTTTTATTATTTTAATTTTAAATAAATATATGAAACAGTTTCATTAAAATTTCATTAAGTATTATATGAAACAAT